GAGAGGAGAGGAGAGGAGAGGAGAGGCCAAAAAAAAAAAGAAAAAAGAACCCCCTCACAAAAAAAACCAAACACAAAAAAACCCCACCCACAAACAAAAAGAGAGAAACAAAACTGCGTATGTGTCCAACAGTAAAATCTGGAACTAATCTAATAAACCAGAAGGTGAGACTGAATTGAGAGCTCTAGCAGCACAGGAGCAAGCGCACTAACTGTCCTTGAAATGGGAATCACGCTGAAGTTAAGGTCAGATGCATGCATATGACAACCAGAACAGCAGTGCTAATTGTGTAACATTCAGACAAGGGAGAAAGAAAGGTGGAGAATAAAAGAGGCAGAGAGCATGCTGCTGCCTGTGACCTTACTTAAGGTAACAAGATAACCTTTCACCTGCACTATACACCTGCTTGATTTGGCACCACTGAGATACAGCAAAGCTGACCCAAAAGTCAAGCCTCTCTGACAAGCCTTTAAAACAATGTTAACCCCCTCTTCCATGATCAGATCTCCATTTAACAATAGATCTTTGGGTTTTGCATTAAGGTAACCCAGGAAGCAGAATTCATTCCTCATTTGAGCTGATTTCCACGGCAGTAAACTATAATGATGCATCTGGAGTGCTAAACATATTGCAAATGAAGGCATTCTGATTTACTCTGTGCTGGGGGATTTTTTGTTTGTTGTAGGTTTTTTGGTTTGGTTCTTTTAAACTCCTCCTCTGCCAACACCAGAAAGACAAAAGCATTCATTCTGTCATGGTCCCAGAAATACACAGTTAGGTGAATTTGGCTCTGGTTATGATATTAAAGGCTTCTTGGCCTCTTGCCAAACTCCAGTCATCTCATTTTTAATCCTGAATCCCTGCTGCCTGCATGTCTTCTGCATGTCTTCTAGCTGAAAAAGAAACTATTCAGTATCCCCCAATCTGACATCTGCTTTTCTTCAAAAGCCGGATAGTCTTCCTTCCTCCTCTCCTAGGTCTGTGAGCACCAGCAATGTAATTTTCTGGCCTGCTGTCTTTCCATAGAGAAGGGCACATCATTTCTTTTCTGTAAAAAAAGAATTGGCCTTTAGAAAATTTGAGAGTGAAGGCATATTTCAAATGTTGCATCTCCCTTTGAGCCTCCAGGGATGTAGGAGACATTCCAGGCTGAGAAAAGTTGTTTTTTCTTTCCTTTCCCAGGTTGCCATTCCCTCTGCTCTTCACCTTTACTGAGATATAAACTTAGGTAATGTCTTCCGCAAAGGGCCAGAGAAGGTGGTAAGCAGTCAGGAGAGAGGAACACCACCGCATTATGATGCTTAACGCTGGAGTCAGAGGTGACAGTGCTCTGGGCAAGTCTCCAGGCCTTGCTGGCACAGACCAGCTGTTGTTAGAAAGAGCGAGCATTAGCAGCCTGAGTCAGACTCTCCCTTCTGCCCCAGTCCTTTCTGCTAATATTTATTAACTTGACTATTTCAGTGTTCAAGACCCAACATAGTTGAGCTCTGATTCAGATTTCTCAGTAATAACCACCCCAAAGCATAACATTTCTCCTCCCAAGGTGGACAGAGGTCTGTGCAACGTCTTTGTCCCTGAAGGCAACAGGGAAATTTGCAGACAAACCATCCTGGCTGCCTTCATTTTCTTCCTTCTCTCCATCCTGTGGAAACAGTGTTAGCAACACTTTCGATGGTGCCTCGCCTCAGGCCACCTCTCTCCTCGGATGCTCTCCTCTGAAAAAAGGGAAAGATAGCTTTTTGGAGGAGCCCTGAGCCTGTGTTCATCTCTGGGAAGAAAGGCAATGAAAAAGAAAACCAGATATATGGGGCTACAGGCAATCTGCTGTGCAGTAATGATTTTTCACTAGGTAGGAACCTCTCTCATCCTGCTATGACAGCTTGCAGCACTCAGCACACAGAATGAACACTTGTTCATTCCTAGGGAAAGTGGTGCCCTGGCTAGTCTGTCCTATTCAGTCAGTAGCAATGCTCTTGACACAGCATCTCCTGGCAAAGAACTACACATCTGAGATACATGTTTTTCTCAAGCAGATGCACTCAGCAAGCTTGTCTTTGCAATTATCACCCTTGAACGTGTTTGCATAGTGGTAAAATGCTGCATACGCTGCTGCTCAGGGTAGACGGGGTAGACAGTGAAATCAAGCTGAAACTGCAGTTTAGGTGAATACATCATTTAACTGACAGATCTGTCAACAAGACTGAGAAGCCTAGGACTGTCTGGAAGATGCTTATGAGCTACAGATCCTAATGCAGCCCCAATGGCTGCAGACACACCACAGGTTTTTGCAGTGCTGTGAACAGACAGCTGGCCATGTGGGATATTACCGAGTGGGCTCATCACCAAAACCTCCTGTCAGCCCACTTCCATCTTAATCCATCTCCCTTCCTACAGTCATCCACACCCCTCTCTGGCTGCTGATGTTTTTGCACGGTTTTCTGTGGGTTTATCCTGTCAATCCAGACTCATCCTCATGGATGCCAGCAGTAAATTGCTGCTATCTTTCATAGGGTCACAGCAGCCTCTGCATTTGGGAGCTTAGCCTTGGCCTTTGCTGAAGTTAGAGAGGTACAGACTGAGTCTCAGAGTCAGGGATCACATTTCCAGGCAGAGACATTGGCTTGCTGAACACACACAGGGAATTACAAAATCTTTGCAGTCTGTTATGTAGAGTGAGGTTGATAACTTTCCCAGTGAGCAAAATGCTGGTGATTCATTGACCGGATTGCTCAGTGTCTCAGTGATCAAGGATAGCAATATCTACAAAATTGCTGAGCTTTTTAAATCCATTTTGCAAACTCCACATGAGAGGAGAGGCAGGAGGTACTGAAAGAAGGAAATATTAACACTTTTGGATACACCTGCTGACTGCCACCATGAAATCTGCATTTTCCAGCATTTTCCCAAGGCAGCACAACGTGTCAAAGAAGCCCCAGAGATTTAAGGTTGGAAGCAAGCACCTGCTCAGGCTGGTTGTGTTAAACATATTGATTTCATAGAGCAACATCAGCTGTAGTGACTTACTAGAGAGAAAAGAGCAAGGAGTCTGAGGTGCGGGTTAGGAGGAAAGGAGTCAGCCAGCTAAACACAGCTTTGTGTGAAAAGTGACATCAAAATATCAAAGATAAAATAGTGATGAGTTTGAAGGAGGTGAGGAAAACAGATGAGGAAAAAGCAGATTGAGATGATGAAGAAAGTGGGCAGGAGAGGACTGGATATTACATTTGAAGAGAGATTGGACTTCGTTTATTTAGTGGAAGTCAAACTAAAAGTTAGAATAAAATACAAATAGAAAAGGAGATCTTTCAGAAATATGCTTATACTTTTTGTGTCAATATAAATACTGCTGTTTGATGCAGTAATGCTTTTTCTGTATTGTGGGTTCACTGCATCCCAGATCATGAGGGGCTCTATATGCTGCCACCTGAAAAAGCTGATTCCATACATAAAAACTGAATTATGAAAAAAAAATGCAGCATTGACAGACAGCACTTTAACAACCCGCAGGGAAATACCAGATGTTTGTGGGGAGCCTTTTGGGCATGGTGGGATTCATCCACTAGCTATACAACTCTAAAAATACTTTTATACAGCTCTATTTTCATGACTATCTAGTATATAGGATGGCATTTCCACAGAGCAGTTTGCCTCTCCGCCTGTCTGGGAGTGTACACACTCAAATCTACTTGCACTAACTATGTAAATAATTATATATATAACTGGTTTATATGCCTTACCACTGTGCAGGTGCAAAATTGTTTGTAGGGAAATGATCTTGCAGACCTAATGTATAATATAGCTGATGTTTGTTGTGGCAATGATCATATCCATTCTGTAAAGGGTAGATAGCAGACTAATCTGTGATTTTGTTTTTCTCTTTGAATCCTAACAGAAAATGGACCCCGTCTACTTGTGGTAGCAGAGCAAGCTAAAATCTTCTCACATCGGGGTGGCAATGTCACACTGCCTTGTAAATTTTACCATGAACACACATCAACAGCTGGCTCAGGAACCCACAAAATCCGGGTCAAGTGGACCAAACTCACCTCAGATTACCTCAAAGAAGTGGACGTCTTTGTTGCAATGGGACACCACAGAAAGAGCTACGGAAACTACCAGGGCAGAGTGTTCCTGAGGGAAAGCAGTGAAAATGATGCCTCTCTTATAATCTCAAATATAATACTAGAGGATTATGGGAGGTATAAGTGTGAGGTGATTGAAGGATTAGAAGATGATACAGCAGTTGTAGCTCTGAATTTGGAAGGTAGGTAACACCTGAATTATACTTAAATTCAGATTTGCGCAGTGTGGAGGAACATCTATATTTTTTCCCCTAGTGTTGCTGATATTGTATTATCAATGATAATAACAAGCTGAGAAGTGGGATTCATTGGGCTCTGAGGCTCTTGGCCTGACAGCCCATGGCAATGATCATAAATTGGAGTAACATTAGGAGTTCTAAAACTTGTGCTAGCCTATGACATATTCAGCTCCCAGCGAGACAGTGTGAGGGAAGCCAAAAAAGGAATGACAAAACATAATATAGAGAACTCCATATGTTTAAAATTGGCTCCCATCACTTTACAGCAGTCATTGCATATTTTCACAGTAGACTTAGGCTAAATTGTATTAAATATTCCCCTAACGGCCATTTTACATAACTTTCAGATTATTGAGAATATACAAGTCTTCTTGTAAAGAGGAAAAACATGAAGTGGTTTTCCAGAGACAATGGTTTGATTTTTTCCTGCTTTATAATTACATAAAACATATCCCTGTATTGCCTGCCAAGATAACCCCTACATGTAATATGCAGTCATTTCCCTCAGCAATGTTCTTAAAAACAATAGAGTAAAAAGTATTATAAAAAAATAGTGAAACAGGTTTGAAGAGGACCAGAAATTCAGCTTTCCTTTACTCTTATGAAATTCAGATAAATTTTATGAGATTCAATGCATGTAAACCAGCATTTGACCTTTTTTCCCAAAGCCCTGCACTGGACTCAGCAGTAAACTAAGAGTCTTGTGAAGATGTCTCCCTTACCGGTATATTTGCTAGTAAGCATGTGCCAGAGAGAATTTTACAGAAGCCACGCTATCTGTTAAAAGCAATTAGGAAGAAAAAAAAAAAAAAAAAAAAAGAAAAAAAGTAAATCAAACCACTGGCTCTCACAACTATAAACAGGTGAAATATATGACTTTTTCATTGAAGGCTGTTGTACGTTATTGTTATGCTGCACAATAAGACTGACTGAGTGGTTCTTGGAACCAAATAGATGTCATGGGCTTAGCTTACTTCTTTACAGCTGTTTTCCACTTCCTGCCTGGAGGCTGCTGAAACCTTCCATTTCTGAGTGCAGAAAGGGCCTGCACAGTTTCCATGCCAGCAGGACAGTCAAATTACGTTATTTCACCTCATATAATCCATCTTTAATAAGAATGCACACTGTTCCTTTCAAACTTAGGAGTTAAAGAAAACTGGACATATATGTGTCCAGTTTAAGCTATCTAAAACAGTTCTGAGTGAAGACAGAAATGAGTAGGAGGAAAAAGCATTTTACTTTCTTCTTCTCTGCCAGCCAAAGGCTCTTCTCTGTGTTTAATTTCCTTCCCTCTTGAGCAGGCACTGCAGTGCTAGCTACTTGCAGCTACTGTCATTGAGACAAGCCACTGAAGGGAGAGCAGTCTGTGCTTGGCACGCTCTGCCTTGACTAAGTGAGAGCGAGGCTCTGGTCATCTGCCCAAGCTGCAGGTATGGGCCCACTGATCAGGAGATTTGCTGTAAGGTGGGCAACCCCAGGGGACAAGAGGGATCCAGCTCACAGGTTGGCTTCCAGACAATAAGGATGTTAATAAAAATGCAGTAAGTGGAGCTGTGAATAGTAAGCACCATGTAATCCTGGTCACAAACATGCTGCATCTGTTTAGCTGTGTTTGACCTCCATCATATCTCTTCTCCTTTCACCCTGTTGCGTAGAGGGTCCTGCAACCCACCCCTGGGTGCTGAAGATGCTCAATAATTTGCTAATAATTTAGCAAGTTTCTTCCGATAGTCTTTTTACATCCTAAGTACATATCTCTATCACACCCTGAGATATTCCAGTTAATTAGCTAGATGCCTTGTTCCCCATCAGATACTGGCATTTCCCTGTGTTATACAGCATTATGGTAGTTTTGTCAGTGTAAAAGGGTCAATGCCAATGTAAAATCTTTAGTGATCATTGGCTCACACTTGCAGACCAAATACTCATCTGTTGCCACTTAGCATTGTGTCTCTGAAGCAAAAGTTCATTAGCTTTCTGCTATTAAAAGTGAGGGGATTGCAGTACAAAGGCTTCCGCTGTGCCAAGAGTGCTTGGGGAAGAGGAGATGATGATGGGTGGAGTGGCAGATCAGGAAGTTTTGCTTGAAGCTTGGTACAAATCCTTGTGAGGAGATACACCTTACAAAGGCAATATATGATAGATACAGGGCTGAGAAATCAATGAGAAATCTTTTCTTTACTGCAGTAACACAACTGAAAAAATGAGATTTTCCACCTTTTTTGCTGCAGCTGTTTCATGCTGCAGGACGAGCATATTGGATACAAGGTCTGGGTCCCACCTCCTGATATGCACTAACCCCTCTACCTTACTGCTGCTACTCTAAACAACGTCTCCCTCTGACATCCCAAGTCATCTCCATCCTGTACAGCAGCACCAGTCCTTCCTGTGTGCACCCACCTTTAAGTTAATTTGTAAGGATAGGAGGAATCTTGTTTCTTCAACCAAGTGTGTTCCAATCTCTGCTCAAAGTGAAGTTTATATATTTTAACTAGTGTCTGGCTAACACAAGGAATAACATCTTAATGGTTTCTGTCAGACATGAGACAAGTGTAAGACTGTACACTTCTGACATTACAGAGTAGTGTTTCCTAAACTGACAAGAAATTTTAATTTGTCAAATGTCATGATAAAATGTAACTTTTCAAGTGAGGTAAGACTAGTGAGTGTGTCAGTGTCAGTTCCACTTACGCCAACAAAATCCACGGCTTCTGGATCTACATTACATTGAAATTTCCCTCTAAAATTGTAATGATTAAAATGCACATATATTTACGATGGATGTCTACAGTTGACAGAATATATTCCTCTGTCTGCATGCTCCTGTGCTTATTTTTTCATCTCATCTTCAGCTTTGTGTAGTGCTAACTTTAATTGCCGTTTATTGTCTTTAAGCAATGCAGATCAGATCAAGGAAAAATCAATCTTTGGACAAAAATAAAAATATAGAAACCTATTCCAACATTCTACATCTGTTATAAATAACAAGGTTAATCTCACAGTGGGAAGGATTTGCATCAATAGCCTAATCTCCTGAGATAGTGGCCCTAAGGATGTTAATTGGCAGCAAGACAAAGCCATTTATATCCAGGAATGCCCACTAGCAGTGCAAAACAGCTGATCACTCCAATGGGAGCTCTCTGTGCAAACAGTATAACTTCGGCTAGGCAAAAGCATGGTGAAATATCAATATGGAAATAGTTGACCTCTACCTCAATGGACCTTGTTTCTTCTCCAAATGTGATAGTGTTCTATTCTTATTATACTTAAAGGCCTCCTGGGATTGTCATTAAATAAACTCTCCATAATAATTAGGTAATTTTAGCTTTGAAAAAACTGTAATTAGATTCAGTCTGTGTTTGTTAGATACCTTACATGTTTTTGGTGTATTTTCTTTGCTAGTAGTTAGTGCAGAAACACTCCATTTGCCCCTTACAATAGTGAGACAGTGCTGTCTAGCAGTTAAAGCTCAGAACTAGGATTCACTGCAGTATTTGACAACTACCATCTCTAAGAACTAGTCAGTCATGTCATGTTACTCATCCTTTTTGGGGCCTTAAGTACAAGGACTGGTCTAAGGGCAGGAGGGTTTGGCGGGCAACGGTAGCTGCAAGAAATGTCAAGTATGATAGAGAGCAGGACACTTTTTATGTTGGCACTGTCACCAAAGACATTTTGTCCCTGAATTGGCCTTATGCTCCCCCTGCACATAAAATACAGATTATGAGTTTTACACTTTTTGTCAAATGTTCTGACAGTGAAAAGTTTAACAAATTAGAAGGTCTCCTATGGCAGTTAGATATTGTTGCCCACGTTATGAGCAAAGAAATCGTGCTCAGCTCACATTGAATTTTCTTTATGTTGGTGTTTTACTGTTCTACGCTAAATTTGCTTTATGTTAGTGCTGTACTATTTTCCTTTCTTATGAATACTGGGCACTTTAGTGAATCTCACTACATCAGGTCTGTATGCTTCTGCTTCCCAGGCATGCAAAGTATTGAGCGCTGGCCCTCGTTTAGACTGCTTAGGCACACATTTTGTGTCCTATTCCTTTATGAGGTACAAGGGCCGGGTGATGAAGAAAGTGGAAGAATGCTAAGCTGCCAAAGGCAGATTTTTACTCTATTAGAAATATTTTCCATAGTTTCTATCATCAATGAGAGGCGATAGTTTTGCAATATAGCCTATAAAAAAATTACTTTGTCTGTTGAACAGTACCAGAAACTAGCAGATCTGGATAAAGCCATTAAAAATCTCTCTAGGAAACTATTTCTACATAGAAGCTAACTCTTTGGGTGGCATTACATGAACCACAGAAACCATCACGTTTTATGATCTTGCTTAGAGGTATGTTAGCCTTTATGTCCAAGATAGAGTTAGAAAAAGAACAGCTATCTCTTTCAAAAACAGACTTTATAGTTCAAAATAGATCAAACAAATCCATAAGCTTCATATAAACAAATTCTTCCAAATTGTCAGAGCTATCATTTTCTAATCTAGTCATCTGCTCTTAAGCTCGATGTAAGAAATGAGAAATGCATAGCTGAAACCAATATGAAACCAACTCCATGATCTCAACAGCAAGAAAAATCAGATTTAGCCTAATACTGTATGTCACATTTGTTTCTTCTGTGTGTTACTGTTACATTTGTACACAATGTACAAAATTTTTTAAAAATATTATTTGCTTGAGAATCTGTTGTACTCTCTCCTGCAAAGCTGATTTTATAGGACACACTCTTTGTGGGTCCCTAGAAGATAGCAAAAAGTCTTGTAAGACAACAGGAGTTTGTCAAGTGTAAGTCAAGTGTAAGTAATTCCTTCTGTGACAGGGTAACAAGTCTTTGCAGACATAGCTGTGTTTGCAAGTGCTGTGAAAAAATGATACTTGAAAGATGCAAGTGAAGTAAAAGTTCAAGGTACAGCAGCAAAAAAATACCTGAAAATGATGTCCCAAAAGAAAAATGATAAAAGAACTAGGACTAATTAGATTCAGGAGAGGAAGGGAAGACAATAGTCCACAAATTTTGATAAAGGTTTTAGAAAAATAAGTGAATAATCTGTCCCCCAGCTAGGTGAGCCTAGTTCGTGTGCCTGTATTTGTCAGAAATAAGCAACCCTGCTGACAACTTGGGTTATAGGATGCTGCAGGCTGGAGAGACACCATCTCAAGCTTCAGTTTCGTTTTTGGGGAGATGGTACCTGCTGACAGCTTGTGGCCCACCCACGGAATCTGTGCTGAATGATCAGGTATCTGACAATCCTGACAGGCAGAGAAATGGAGATAGAGTCTCAAGGAAAATGAAGGGTTTACCACTATTTGCAGAGTTTTTGAAAGCTAGCATGGAAAATTTTGCCATCGAGTATATGATCCTGCCAGCATAAAACTGTACCCTACAGTATAGTATATAGCAAAACCTACTGTTACCCCGTGTTTACACTGGATACAAGAAAACTTGCTTTTTTGTTTGGACTAGAACTCAAGGAAGCCCATTGCTTTACTCTGTCTGTAAAAAGACCATTTTTTCCATGTGAGTCAACAGAAATTTTTGTTATTTTGTTCTATGTGTAAACACTTTTAAAGGTGCTAACTATGTATGGTGCTGGATTAACAGACACCCATAAATTGTTACAGGACCTGAGCTTTCTAATGTTATTTCCTCACCGTGTCGTCTTGGGTAACCATTACAGCTCCCTGCACTAATATTGTGTCTGCAGCAACTGAGTAGTTGCAAAACATTTGCACTGAATTTTAGGGATTATCCACATTTAAGACTCTGAGATAAAAATAACATACAGATGAAACACAAATATAATGTATTTTACATTCTCAAAGAACCACAGCAACTGAAACAGAGTTGCACATCTGCAGAATTGAATGTAAGGCATTCATGGGAATAGAGGTATGCATATGGGGGGGGATATGCTATATATCTGGTTCTTATGTTCCAATTTGCTAGAAATCCTAATTTCCATTACAACAGCTGTCTTCTGGATTGCGATTGCGTTGTCACAGGTGCATACAGAAAGCTTCACCCAGCCCTTCTCTTTCACTAGCAGATTTGTTCTCCACTGAATTGATGTGTCTCAGGTTCTTCCTCTCTTGCTTGGAGGAAGGGACGTCCTTTCCTGGGGGTAAGACCTATTCAAGAGAACCACATGTTTGGGAGAGGAGCCACACTGTGAAGTCTATATTATAAAATAATATTCTCCACTCAGGGTCCACAAGTGGCTCAGCTGCTTAATTAGGGTAGAGAACTGAATCACTATTGTCAGGTTAAGGCTCCTCAGCAAAGTCACTAACCCCATTTTAGCCGTCTGACGCTGGAAGTTTTTGTCTTCCTCCCTTTTTTGAACTGGTTTGTTAACATTTGGAAGTGAGTGTTTTGTCTAGGGGTAAAACACAGAGCTGGAGTCAGGAGTTTAGATTCAGTCTGTAGTTTGGGAACAGTAACAAGACCCAGGACAGCTTTTGTCCACTCAAGAGCAGATGGGATGGATTATCTTTTGACGAGTTATAAGATCCAAGACTAAAGAAAATACTTTGCAATTAAATGAAGTTCAGAACTCCTAATTTGTGACAAAAGGAGGATGAATAGTAAGATAAAATTGATTTTCAGCTAGGTTTGATAGGGAAATGAAGAAGAAAAAAAAAGTTAACTAAGATGCAAGATAATGCAAAGCTACACAAAACACACATAGTGAATATTTCTCTGCAGAACCACTAATGGCCACCCCCCATCTGCAGGGTAAAATTAATGTTAATCAGTTGCAGGCTTGTACTGCAGATGAACTCAAACAAAAATCAGCTTCTATGCAGTCTAACAAATACAGCCCAAAGCTAATATTTCAGTTTCGTGCATATTTATCTTATTAAAACATTATGTCCCAAACTGTCAAACTTATTGTAACAAATTTACATACATATTTAACCCATTTTTAAAAATTATTTTAGAAAACTTAAGGGATCAAATCTGTCTGAATAGTTTCCAATTAATTGTTACTCAATTTTTAGAAGTATGTGAGCTTAGATCTTGATTAAAAAATACCTCTGGTGATTTAGGGGTTTTTTTAAGATGTATATGCACATAAGACCCACATGTACTGGACAAGGAGTCAGTTGTCTGGGGAAGTGTAGTTCTGTAAAAATAATAAGTATTGGATTTCTAATAAAGTAATAAAGCTTGGACTCCTCTGGCATTTGCTATACTTTTATTATAGCCAGTGATATTCCTATCCATTAGCACTGAGGAGAAATGAACAATATTTTAAAAAAAGAGGTGAGGAGAAGGCAGGAAAAACAGAGATCCACTAAAATATGAAACATTTACATCTTCTTGTTTACGAAGTTACAGTTAACAGCACATGTTGTGTTACATTACATTCATGCTTTATAGTTCAAAGCAGCTAATAAATGAAAACCCTTTAACAAAGGATTTACAAAAGTAAAGAACCTCCACAGACTCTCTAGTTAATTGCTGAAGGAGAGCAAAATATTGTTTATTATTACCCTGCCAAGTTTACATTTGCATGCTTTATTTTCTTGGACCAAGTCACTGAAGTTTAGTAATAACAGGGATTGTGTTTAACAAAAATAACACTTCTTGGATGGATGGGCAAGGAAGAGAAGGGAAAGGAAGGAGACACTAAGATACCGGTGAAATAGACGAGTGGGTTTGAGTGTTTGGAAAAAGGAATGGCTTCATTGCACAGTGACTGTCCTGAATGACCAAAATGTAATTTCTCTATCCTATGCTACATTGCCCCAGAGACAAGGAATTTTTTGTAGGCTGGAGAATTCATCAGCAGGGAGAAAGTAAAAAGAAAGATTGGTGTTTATACCGGTGTAAAGCTTTTGGCTCATCTTCTGTGTTATCTTGTCTTTAGTCCCTCTGCATCCTACACCACTTAGTTCTACAGAGATGTTTGAGAATAAACATTCTGATCCGGATCTTCACTGATGCCATTTTATTTAGGCTTGCTATGAGACTGGGCTAAAGCCAACTGTAAAATTTAGATCTGGGTTAATTTTCTACACCCTGCTGAAGATTAGGGTGGTCTCTTTCTAACTTGTTTGTTCCTAGCCTTTTTCCTCTTATTTCAAGAGCCACAGGAGGAGGTGGCTCTTTGGTATTTTCTGAAACATCTTTCATGCTTCAAGAAGTAGTATTTAACTAGATATTTTTCAGAAACTAGGAAATATCCTGCGGAAAAATCTGTCAGACAGCAAGCGTCCTTTGGTTAAACCAGAAGTGCTTTTGGCAGCCATAATGTAGAGAGGAAAGGTGGTGTCTCACATGGCTTCCTACTAGGGCTGTCTTGTGTTGCTGCATGGCTCACCACCTGCAGTTGGGGAAACCTGTCTCCTGCTCAAGGAATTGTGCTCTTTGATGCCCTCTGTGAGGAGCTCTCCCTCCTTGGGTGGTGACAAACTGCCAAAAAACCAGCTGGAAAGTAGCAGAAAACTCTTCCTAAAAACCCCACATTGCTTCACTGATTTTATTTCCCTATAGATTTTCTTCTTTAAGATCTCAGGACAGCCTTGAAATGTTATTAAGCTGGGCATGAAATGCCCTCGCATTCCTAAGATAATGTGAAATAGAAACAAACAAAAAACCAACTGTCTTGAACTTCCCAGGAAATCTTGGCTAGGGTCCATGCAAAGGCCATAGTGATCTATCAATCAAAGCATTTCATTTTAATGTCTATCTGTAAAAAAAAAGTAGTTCATATGCTTCTGTACTAAATTTCTTCTTTCTAGATAACTGCCAGAAAATCCAGAAATCCCATCCCATGACAAAACAGAACTAGGCTGGGTTTTAATTCACTTTTTTTTTAAATGAGAAATTGATCTTGCAGCTGATAAATTTCCTGATGAAAGACATGTAGCTGCAAGATCTCAGTTGGCTCTGCTCATCTTTAAGCACTCCCAGAACGCACAAGGGTGAGATCACAGCAGGGCCAGCAAAGGCTGCAGATGGGAGCAATGTGCAGACCTGGCACAGTTCCCGTTGGGAAAGGGATGATGTTACAGGGAGCGCATCCAGCTAGGTAAAGGCGGCAGTCCTATCCCCTTCACAGACCTAATGGCTGATGTGCTGACGGTATGTTTTGCCCCAGAAATAAAACAACTTAAACCGCTTGACACACAACCTTTATCTCTCCTAACTGTAAATGTGGTTTCCCCTTTCTTCTGCTCATTCGGTGTCCTATAACTCACCCATCTCTCTACCACTTCAGGTGTTGTGTTCCCTTACTCTCCACGGCTGGGTCGTTACAATTTAAACTTCCACGAGGCTCAGCGAGCGTGTCTGGAGCAAGACTCTGTTATTGCCTCCTTTGATCAGCTCTATGACGCCTGGAGGTCCGGGCTGGACTGGTGTAACGCTGGCTGGCTCAGCGACGGCTCCGTGCAGTACCCCATCACCAAGCCCAGGGCGCCCTGCGGAGGGAAGAACACAGTGCCTGGGGTCAGGAATTATGGGTTCTGGGATAAAGATAGAAGCCGATATGATGTCTTCTGTTTTACTTCAAACTTCAACGGTAAGAGTCTTCTTCACTCCTACCTTGTAAACAATTGTTTCTGTGCCTAGCAAAGGAACTCCACTGGCAGCAAGTGGTATCTGACTTGTCAAAGATTACGTTTGGCTTGGAAAATTTTGTTGAATTTACAATGACACACTCACAGGGTGAATTTGTCTTTGCCACATGTTCACATAGGTTGTTTTTACAACACAAAACTTGTATTGGTACGAGTTTCTAATATCTCTGCTTTCACTCTGTTAAAATTTATGTGCTCTTTTAATGTTGATATATGCCCAGTTTATTGCAGTTAAAGTGATGAAGAGCTTTCCTGTTGAATTCAATTATAATTATGATGTTTTACAGCTTAAATACATCACCAAAACAAAATTCTGATCACCACTTCATCTCTGCTGTTGAATCAAGCAGCTCCTGCTCATGTTCCAGGTCTAATATGACTAATACTTCCTTATCAGCAAAGCTATTTCTAGCTTTTATGCCTAATAATTTAGATTCCTAATCTTAATATGCTGCCAAAACCCTGTTCACTTTTGCTCTGAGACTGGTCTGCTCTAAACATTATTTAGTGACTGCAAACTCTTTTGCTGTTGGTAGATGTTACTTCAGGTATGAAATGACTTGATGTCAGCCTGCTGTGATTTCAGGTTTAATATAATGCCTGAAAAGGATTTAGAAAACACGGCTGTGATTGAGAGGAACATTGCAAGTGAACATGTGTAAAGTTTACAATCCTCTACAGCGTCATATCTGTGGATCATTCCTACACAATTTTGCATATGTTTGGATTGCAGCCTATCCAAACCAATAAGCATGGTCTTTTTTGTTTATGCACAGATTGCTTATCCACAATGAAGCATTTCTGTCCTACAGCACACCAAAAAATAAACATAAGCCTTACTCTCAGAAGATATGCTCCAGTGCTAAGTCTGCTCCACCCTCTCAGAAAAAAACCAAAACAAACAGATCCTCAAACAAGCAATATAAAATTAGACTGAATATGGTCTGAAACAAAAGTTTAGCTGATTTTTATCATGCTGCATCATTCCATGAAATACTGGCTCTTTATATTATTGCTTCATTTATCCAAGGTGAAATCCTGTATGAGCTCATCTCTTATATGCAGATTTAATCCTGTACTATAGAAATAGCACTACGGAATAAAATAAACAAAGAAAAAGAATTAAAATATGATAGCTGCATGATTTATAATGCTTACAGGGTATATGCTTGTGACTACTGTTCACTAATCACCACCCTTTTCCAGACTAGCAGCTGGACATTATCTCTTAAGAAAAAAGAAAAAGAGAAAACAAAAAGTAATGACAGGTAAATATTGCCTATGTGTTGATAGAGCAAGTGAGAGAAAGAGGTATTAGGTAAGGTGAGGATAAGTTATACTGGTAGTAGAGAAATCAAAGACAACACACTAAAGTGAATCTCATCCTTGGTGAGTCTGTTAAACCAACCTGCAAGACAAGATATTACACAGATATAGGGTGATATATGGGGCACCATCTTTTCTAGTTCCCTATGACTCAGTGCCCTGTAAGTGTCTCAGAGTGTCAGCAGAAAATCTGGACTTCTACTTCTCTCAGCATCCATTTCCTTAATCACCAACTCACCAGGTTATCTTACCCTTACACGTCCTTGTTCTGTACTCCACTAGTTGTGTCCCAAGCTTACCCTAATATTCATAACGAACCCAGTCACTCTCCCAAGATGCCAACATCCTATTTTCAGCTCAACACTTCAGATAGCTTATGTGTGTTTAACAGCATACATTAGCTTTCTCAGTGTAAAGGGAAAAGCTTATAATAACCCATTTTGCCACCAGGTTGTAATTACCAAAGGCAGTGGTTATGGGCAAAGAGCTATTTTTGTGACACTCGGTATTGATTCTCTCGGCCCAGGGACAGCCAAGGAAAATGAGAAGTGGTTAGGACACCATACCTTTCCAGCAGTCACTGCCACTGCTGGAGTCCCTCGATGGTATGAAACAGAGAAGCCTTCAGCTTTATGTAAGGGAGCTGGAAAAATGCCAATGGCCCCAGGAAAAGGGGAGTATAAGGCAAGCTCAAAAAAAAAATAAATCTCAAAAAATGTCAGTTAGAGGAGCTGCTAGGAGTAAAGAGGGTGAGTGAGGTTTAGATTTCTGCTAACTGGGGGTTTTTTTAGGGAAAGAAAGTCCACAAATACATTATGATCTCAGGAATCTTAAGAAAAAGAGGGAAGGGGGGGCATGGGGCTCAATTTTAAATAGTTCAACACTCAAAGCAAAATGTCTTTGTCTAAAATACGTGCAAAGTTCGTTTTTTAAGTGGAGAAGAAAGGTAAAAAAAAGAGTAAAATTACATTCAGGCATTAAGGTGACAATTACAATTCAATCATCAACACAGTGAGTTCAAATCAAGGCTCAGAGTTTTCCCTCTGGAACTGCTGGATCCTGTCTGTTATGAGCTGAATACACCAAAAAGTATTGTTATAAAAAAGGAGGATTTTTGCCATTAGTAAAGAATTCTACGTGCATTCCTGTTAGTTGCACAGAGAAATTGCTTTAGCGAAGTTCGTCTGCAGTGCAATATAAAATAGTGTTAATACTTCATGAAATTACCCTCTACAGTGTCTTTTCACAGGCTAATGTAAGTACAATACTTGAACATTTTCTTCTTCCTGTATAACTGTTTCATACTGCAATCTGTCTGTTGGTTCATAACAGAACATCTTTTTTGTCTGTGCAAGCAAAACCAAAAACCTGAAAATCTTCCATACACTATATTGTATAGAGTAGTACAAGCAATTTACCAGATTATAAGAATACACAGTGATGTATTTCATAAAACAGTGCAAAGAGTAACAGTAGCATAACTCCATCCATTAAATCCACCGAAATATTGTTAAATAACATAGTTTTTCTGCCTGCATAGAGATAACAATTGGATGGCAACTTGTTTCCCAACCTACTTTTACATTCCTCGTGTTGAGAAAGGCTATTGAAAATGGACATACACGAGTGGGAATTATCTAACAAGTTTGGAAATTCTGTGTTTGATTTCTGAGGGCTCAGCTCTACTCCCCCACAGCCAGTTTCTCCTCCACTTTTTTTTCATTGTAGCAGCTGCTTTAGTCCATGTTCTCTTTAGAAAAGCCAGAGGTTCCTGCCCCATGTGCTGGGACAATCTGCCATGCTCCACAGGTTTACAGAGTCTGCAGACCACCCCAGTTTCTCTCCCTGTCCTGTCCCAAGGAATGAGGATGCTCCTCTTCCATACACTCTCTGTAGAAGGTAATTTTGGACTTCTACACACTACTTTGAGTGAACAAATGTAGATGAAACCATGTGAGGTTTCAGTCTTGACCACTGAGCCCAAAAGGCATAGGACAGAAAATAAATAATGGCAGAGCTGAGTGGCTATTCTTTCCTTAATGTCAAAGGGCTTCTGAAGGAGAACAGTCAATTTCTTGAAGGAAAAAAAAAATGGAAATTTTTTTGGACTGAAAAGTGTTAAGTGAGCTAAATATAAACATATCTATCAGCTCCTCTATAATTAAACATTATCAAAGGAAAAAAAAAGTGTAAGTAGAGCTTTTATCACACTTTCTGCTCATTAACATGCATTTTGTTATATACTTTGAACACAGAACCACAGTGCATAATTGGTTTGTTATCAGCTCTAGCAGAATCAAGTAAAAAAATCGTGTTAACAAAGTTAAAAATATAAAGAATGAATTTTAAGGATCGTGTTAAAAGTGCAGCTGTGAATCACCTGTTAGCTATAGGAATGCATGTGATAAGCTAACCACCTCTGTTATTTAAATGGGAGAAAGGTGTAGAAAGTCTTTTTTGAACGATGCATGCTGACTGCTCATTTCATTATTTCAGAATATTTTACCACTGGGAGCATGTAGCCATTGTTCTGAAAAGAAAAACAAACCTACCCAAAATAAAATTACATACCCTTTCTTAGAAGCAGTTGTTTCCATGGTCACTGCTCATATTGGTGGGCCCGGAAGAGGATTTAAAAAAATGTTCTCACACATTTAATGTAGCCATTTGAAATCAGTTACCTGAGATGATCACTGGGTGTCAAAATACTTATCAGGACCTTATGATTAAAGGAATGGAAAACATCTCACTTTGCACAAATTTTGTTCTTCAGTTTTGAGGAACAATGGCCTCACTCAAACATTTAGCATTGCTGCAAGATATACTGAACTGAGTCTGCTGAGCAGATGATGGGGTCTACATGTTGTGCAAACTACAGATGCACCACGCTGGCTGCTGAGAACTCGTTTTATGGCCCTGTGAAGCCACAAATCTGAGCAGTTTTACACAGTAAAACAACCTGACTTCTGCGGCCTTAAGTTTTTCGGCATACATGTTGGCTGCCGGCTGCACTTGGCATTTCTCCTACTTGTGCTGCCACACACTAGGTAGAGCTGGCTACTCATCTGTCCCTGCACAGCCCTGAAACCACAAGGCTGAGGAAGAGGCTGCCCCAGCAACCCAGTAAGCTGTTCGGAGCAGTCTCAGGTCTGAGCTCAAGTGGTTAGATGCTCGATGGCTGGCTGCATCCTCTCTGAGCACTGCAAAAGAACCCTCCCTCAGAGGCACTGCCTTAACATTTTACACAGAAAATAGGGGTGCTACTGCCTTTCTGTGTCTCTGAAGATGATGGTCCACCACCGAATACACCCAGTTGCAACATACAAACTCAGGATTTAGAACTGAGCTTAGAAAAAAACTCCAAGGGTGGTGCATCCATCAAACTCGCACAGTCAGAGAAGTGTAGGGTATTTGGGTCAAGTTTTCCTCTTTAAGCTGTCCTGTTAACATGAAAAATTTTAAAATAGCTATTATAGATGGGGTTTGATTAGTTTTGCATAAACCCGCTGTCCAACAATTTGGAAGTGAGAAGTTAAATCAAGCACTCTCATCCTCTTTAAGAGTGACCCAACTACCAGATATTAAAGAGAGACACTTAATGTCTCCTCTCCTTCCACAGCAGTTAATAAATACTAAGACTGAACAGTTAGGAACTCTTCTAACCTATTAGCAGGGGAAAACCCAGAAAATCTTACAGAGTTTATTAACAGAGTTTTATTTTATCAGACATTCTGCTTACACATTGCATGCCTATTGAGTTTACTATTAAAGTTCTCGAGTTTAAGGAAGGGGCAGAATATAGGAGTTTTTATTATTGATGTCATATGTCAAAACCCTGACCTTACTGCAAATCCCTAGGAAATTACATTCCATTGGCATATGGTTTGAAGAGCAACTAAAAAAGTAGGTGAAGTTTTTATACTATCAGTGCATATCCCTGTTCCCCTAAGACTGAAATCCTGTTTGCATTGGGGAAACCTCTTAATAACATAGTAGGAACAGGTTTCCACTTAATAAACATTTTCTTGAGCAACATCTTGTAAATGCTTTCAACCTGCTGAAATAGAGTTAAGCAAGCATTTTACAAAGGGGTAGATAATCTACTCTCAACATTTTTTATGAAAATACTGTTGATGTTGTTTCTGACAGCAGTGACATTTTTTAAAATTTTCTGCTCCACCACAGCTGCAATGTAAATGCCCTTTTTTTTTCTGCAATGTCCTTGTCGTGATATACAATTTCCAACATTTACAAAAAGTTAATAGAGTTGTCTTCTGAGCTGGAATTTCTTCACTTAGAAGAAAAGCTTTGTGGGATTTTTGCAGGGATCTGGAGCTGAAGTAACTCTTCATCCTGCTCACCATTTTTCCTTCACCAAGAAAGTGATCTGAGCAGAATTCTGTTTGTGTGTTTACCTGTTTTTTATGAGGAAGAAAAAGGATATTGCTCTGGATTACTTTCTTAATTAAGAAGTAGAATATGCCTTGGAATTATAAGATTCCTACATGAATAAATTCTTTTTCTTTTCAGCTAACCTGCCTCTTACAGGACAGTCAAATTAAAAAGTTGTGAACATATTTGGAAATTATTATTCTTTCAAATAAACAGTATTCCTCTGCAATCCATTTCTACCTCACTTATATAATTGTCAAACCATTGATGATAAATAACCCCAATGATAGCCTTACAGTAAATTTATATTGCCTTGATAAATGAAATTAATGTTACTATGATTGCTGCTTATGGATTAGTAGGGGAGACTTCCTTTTTGGAGCTTTACTTGCCAGCATATGTTTTCATTACCTTGAGACAGAGGTACATTTTTCTTAGTAGCACTATCAGTTCATTGCTGTTTTATGGTAAGGATATATACCCTTTGATGCCTAAAAAGAAACAGAGCTGCAGAACTGCTGCCGGTGGTTTTGACACTGCTAATGAAGACTTACAACAGGCATGGTTTCAATCCACCACAGGCTCAGACTCTGCTTCTGAAAAGCTCGTGCAATATTGTAATTTTCTTACCAAACGAAAATAAATAAATAATTGTGCTTGTACTTAATCAGAAACAAGTCACTGTCTCATCAGAGAATAAAACTGCATGTGCTACCTCCAGCCACCCTCTCCCAAATGATATCCAAGGCCAGATCGTGCTATGCCGTGCTTCTGAGAGGACAAATCATAAGCGGTTTAAGCTAAGGCTGGGAGTGCACTGCTTTGAGTTTTTCACTGATTTCCCTTCTCTGGCAGTAAGTTACAGCTGTGTGAGGTCCGATTTGCCTGAAAACTATGGGGTTCCCCAGACACTTCACTGGATTGTCTTTGTCACCTTGTTGGTAAATGCATCTAGCATCACAAAGTTAGATGCAGGACAAGCACCGTCCTCCAGTCCCAGGGTGTCTTCTATCATCCCTCTCTGCCAATCTTTTTCTTCACATGCACATTCTGAGGAAGAAAATTCATTGCAACAGTTCAGTTATCACTGAGCATAAGCAAGGATGGGGATGCTTTCCTGTCCTGTTAGCAGATAGAAATATAGCCCTACTTTTTTCATTAGAACAGTCTATTTTCTCTAATTGCCTATTTTATTTTTTTTTCACTGCTGATATTTTTAACAGCACAGTGCCCAAAATGCACAGTTCCAATTCAACTGATCTGGTATGATGCTGCAGTGGAACGTCTCCATTTCTCCTCAAAAGCCACCGCTCTATGATACATCACCTTAACCCTGTCACTAATGGCCCTTTTTTCCTTCTTTCTCTTGCTAGGTCGTTTCTACTACCTAATTCACCCAACCAAGCTGACCTACGATGAAGCCGTTCAGGCATGCTTGAAGGATGGAGCTCAGATTGCTAAAGTTGGCCAGATCTTTGCTGCTTGGAAGCTCCTGGGGTACGACCGCTGTGATGCTGGCTGGCTGGCTGATGGCAGCGTCCGCTACCCAATCTCCAGGCCAAGGAAACGCTGCAGTCCTAACGAGGCAGCGGTTCGCTTTGTAGGCTTCCCTGATAAAAAGCACAAGCTGTATGGTGTCTACTGTTTCAGAGCATACAACTGAAAATACCTAGAGCACAAAGTTTCAAATTCATTAAGAACATGTGAAAGATTTCTTTTCGATATGAACTCATGCAAGTTACCAAAACTGTGATAAACCTTTGTTACTTACTGTAAAGAGTCATTTTCATAAACCCAGCCATTTAATTTGTTGGTTTGGGTTTACGGTTCCTTTGATTTTTTTTTTTTTTAGTATTTTTGTAAAAGTATCATTCCATAGATATGTTAAATTAATATAATTTAATGGAAGCTCTAGGTAAGGAAGTTTCTTTAAGCTACGTCATCCCAATAAAATATACTTTTCATGAATGGGGCATGCAATAGAGCTTGACAATTGCTAGAGCACAATTATGGAATGTAAGGCTACTCAAAGCAGAAGCTTTTAAAAGCACAGATTTTAAATATTTGTAGCAGTTTGAGAAACACTGCAAATTAATTATTTCAGGAATTTTGAAATAAGATAATCTTTTTGTTAAAGGGGATCTGTGAGGTTTTGCTAAAAAAACCTCACGACATAGGTTAGAAAATAACTGTTTTCACTGGCTTCACATGGGAGAAACACTGAGTTTAATAAAAGCAGCTAAAACAGTCCGCAAAAATAGGATTAGTTTTACAATTTAAAATCTTGCCTTTCTGAAAAATAAGCTCGTGGACCCATGCATAGGAACAAGCACAACTAATTCTCCTGAACATTTCAATTGTGGTTTTGTCATGTATAAATAAATAATTGATGGGGGAGTTAATAAGTAACTAACAAGAAAACCCTGTTTTCTTCTTAACTCCAATTAAAGATGACTGAAAAGTGTTGTGTTACCTTTGAGTAGCTTTACTGAGTTATTTTAAAACTCTTAAAGGCCATTTGCTAAGCAGCGTATAGCATCTACTCAGGGCAGTTGTATAAATAAACTGCTGGACAGAGAAATTGTAAACTTTAGCAGCTTGATTTTACATTAGCCTTTGAAATGTTATTATCTTAATGAAAGAACATTACAATATTTAATATTTCTTACCTATTTACAAGTCACAAGAAATAAAAATTAGAAAAAATACAATTATGAAGACTTAGAACAAGATTATTAAAAAATCTGAAACCAGCTATTAAAGTTTAAAAGAAAAAAAACTTTATTTCCTTACATCTTATTTGTATCTAAAAAGTACACCTGTTTTTTAAACTATCAATGAAAAAAAATACTATCACTAGCCCCGAGTTACTTAGTTAGTCCTCCTTAGAGTTAACAGAACAAAACTATTGAAATACTTCTTTTCACTAAATCTGCAGTGGTCTAAGTGGAAGATGTTTACCTATATCTGCCAGTGTCAGAGATAAACACACACTGTGCATGGTGCCTAGGATTTTCAGTGCTGCCTAAAGGTCCTACCTGGATACCAGTTTGAGGGAATTTGGATTTCTGATGCAAACTTACTTTGGATGCAGCAATTCTTGGTGCTCATCTTCAGATACCTTAATGCAACCAGTTTTTCAGAGAGCAGGTGCTCAAGGCTTTCTGAAAATTCACTCCACTTATGATGTCTCAAGCTGGATATCCAAAAAACAGAGGCCACTGATTAAAAATATCTTGATCTTGAGTAATCTCTTAAGCAGTTTTTATGTTCTCTATCGGGTATTGGTTCTACCACTTAAAAAATGGAGAACTTTTTTTTCCTACTCTGCGCTTGCTGACTATGAAGATTTCAGAGGACCAATATTTGTATTACACAAAGTTTTATAGCTTCCCATTGTTTCCATATCTAAATGAGATATAGTGGTATTTATCCAAGTAGGACACAACTGGTATGTTTTCATGAATGATTTTGGTGTAGTAATTTTCCCATGGACATCAGTAAATAAATCTCTTTCCCAGAGTTGTTGTGGTCCTGTTTTAAAACTCTGTGAACAAACCAGGAACAATATATGGTAGGATTGTAGTGGAAAGATAATATAGTTTAAGAGGTATTTTATTGGAATTTGTTCCCATCAAGCTCGGAGACAAATTTCGATCTTTCTGGGGATATTTGCGTCCACTGTGGATATTTGATCATACTATTCAGATTCAGCAGTCTCGGTGCCAAAACTCCACCTTTTCTAATTCAGTAGGAATTGAATTTCCTTGAAACTTTATCACTTAGCTATAAATAGAGACTTATCACAAGCCCCTAAACCCAGGTAATCTTTTCTGAACAGACTTTTTTGATATCAGTGTCCATTTTACACATTTTCTCAGTCCACTCAGAACCTTGTCAGAACCCTTTGAAGAAAAAATGGAAATGTAAATGAAAAATATCCCTATAGGATAAGGAACAGGGTATGCAAGACTGGACCACAACCAAAAGGAATACATGTTATTACCCCCTCCAACCTTCAGAAACATGGAAAAAAGAGATCCAGGCTGTTTTCGGTGTCTTTTCTGAGGTTTGGACAGGGAGGTTGTGGGATGGGAAAAGCTACAGGGAATATCCCAGCTGTTACCCCAGGTTGATCCCTAGTTGCTGTAAAAGAAGGAATCCTTTTATGCAGCTGGCTCTATCCTCCCCAAAGATCTGCTAGATCTGGAGGAGGCTGCATTGTTTTCCTACTGCACAGAGGCGAAGAGACTCATGAATTTTTTAAAAAGTTTTTTTTACCTCTCCAGGGAAACCCTACGCAGGGTTTCACCCAGACGCATCTTTTTTGCAGGAATGGGGATTATATTTTGCCTGCATAAAAAATGTACACATCCAACCCACTCTTGGGGCTGGCTAAAGTGCCCTCACTGCTAGACCAAAGGCACTGCGGGAAAGGTGAATTCAGCCTTTCACCAACTTTGCAACGCTCTGGAGATGGCTGGTCAGGTCCTAAATCACAGCGATCTCAGGCTTGCGCTAGCTTATGCCTTCTGTATCCCTCTCTCCGGGCTGGCATTGCGACATCCCGAGGTGTAGCATCCCCCCAACCCACCCCTGCTTTGTGCATCACCCACACCCCAGGCCGGTGGCTGAGCAGGCTCTGCGCCACCCAGATGATCCCTCAGCTCCAGGGAAAGCACCCGAGCTCCCAGCTTGGCAGCACAAAGAGGCCATAGGGCAACAAGAGATTAGGTCTCCGGAGAGGCACTGAGCTGACAGTCGATCACAGATGGCCAAATTTTATCATCCAGTTACGCCTGTAAGTTTGCGTTGAAGATATTGCTTGCTAGGAATCGTACGTCTACTCGGTAGAGACACAGTATGCGAATTTGCATTGGTCACGTTACTTGTGAAGACCCCAGTAGTTTAATTTGGGATCAGGCTAGATTGATATGCAACATTAAACATTATTAAAACAGATACAGTTAATTGGATAGTTTGGTGAAAATATGTTTGTATAAAAAAATAATTAGTTCTAATGTAAGGTATGAAAACCACAAAAAGTGTATGATTACCTGAAAAGTGGGTACAAATAGACAAAAAAAAGACACGAATTATATTTTTTTTTACGGCTACTGACTCCATTTCCTTTTATATGTCAAGTGTCAGGATGTTTTCTTATTTTCAACTAAGCTAGCTAGGTGCTTGGATAAAAACTTTAAAAAGCAGCTTAAAACTGGATAAAAGTCTGTGCTATTTTCTGTTCATGAGAGAATATTCTATCATTAGAATCAATTCACGTTCTCTGTCATTATCTTGTACTGCACAATGTATCTGAATTTTAATGCCCATGAATTGACAACAATTAAATCATGTTGTTCTTTTCAATGCAATGATCTCTGCTTATTGACTGGCCGTTCTTCTACTTCCGTCCCACAAAACATAAAAAGGAAACAAATAGATCAAAGTATGAAAATACTTACTTTGTCGTAGTAAACAAAGTGATTAGAAAACGAGGGGGAAAAAAAAAGGAAGACTACTCTGTGAATATCATTTACAATGAAAATAAACTGTATTCCAAAGCCTTTGTTTTATGCTTCTTTGAAGCATTTTGGAAGTAGAAATGCAAGGACCAATTTCTTCTTTGTGTTCTCTGCCATCTTCTAAAATAAAATAAAGCGTAAATAAGGAAGGCTTTTTTTTTTACAGTTGGTGTCACACTGCATATGCATCGTGAGAAATTGGATGTAGAACAGTGTTCTATGTACAGTAAAATTTATGAAATTACTTATATAATCCTAAGACCTTATAAATTAAAAAAGTAAACAACAAAAAATCACTCTTTGTAATGTGCAACAAGAAAGATTTCCAGTGTCAAGCAAAGAATTAGTTATTCAAAACACTGGGCCAACTTTGAAGCTTCTGTATTCACGCTGTTTTTGTATTCTTTTATTGATCTGTTCCAGATAGTTAACCCTAAAAATTACTTACACTGCATCACTTTGCTGAGAAATACTATTCTTCCAGAAGCTTTCAGTATATGGACCATGTTTTAAAATAGATGAAAAAGAGATTAGGAAAACTTATCACTCAGAACAGGGGAAATATATTTTACCATCAATATATGACTGAAACAAATTTTATTTTCTGACAATTTAGTTTAAAAAATTTTAGAACAGGTAACATTTTCACTTAACAACTTTAATGCATAAAATTAAAACCAGCTTTCACAGAAAGAGTCTCACGAGGACTAGGGTTTGCATTTATAGTAGCAAGTTCCATTGAATGACATCTCACTATTCAAAATAGAGACATTCTCTTCATGTTTGAAAGTGGCTGGATTTAAGACCTGGTGGATCTGCCACAAAAGCAGAATTGTCTAGATTTTTACCCAAAGATTTGGTAAATGAAGTACTAGGCTGCCATTGCATTTAGCTGTTCTCTCATTTATTCACAAAGGATACCAGCAGCTTTCTGTCCAACAACAACAGCTAGCTGTTCTTTTTAAAGGTTTCAAGAAACTGAATCTTACATGGTTGGTTGCCATTTTCTTCCTATTTCAGAAGACTTTACAAAAGTTGCAAATAGCAGAGCATTCAAATTCCAATGCCAGGTAATTTGCTGTATAAAAAGAGATAAGATTTCTTTGAGTTTCTAATCAAAAAACCACACAAATCAACCAAATAATGCTAACTTTAGGAGAAAGGCAAGGTGAACTGATAAAAAATAATTACTACTGAAAAATAATTAATAATTATTATGAATAAGGATGGTCCCTTTAAAAGAGTGGTGACCTGAAAGATACATTAAGAAAAAAAATGAAAACAGAAAGCCATACTTCAGCTCCTGATCTATCACACAGAGTTTGCATTTGTTATATTTTGCATAATAATTATTAAGCCACAAGTTTAAATACATAATTTAAAAAAACCCAAACAAACAAACACCGAAATACATATTAATAATAATGCAAGAGTTTAGAAGGGATTTCTTCTTCTTCATCAAGCCTCAAACTGGAGGTTGGAAATTCTCCTTAGAAGTCCTCTGAGATTAATATTTTCCTCTTTTTGTCCTAGACCATCTCAAGCTCTAAATCCTCAACAAGGTAATATATAAAATCCGTCTATTTCTTCAGTATTGTGGCAGAGGCAAGCAATTGTTTGCCTGATAACAA